CAGCGCTCGGACAGGTGAAGGGTGTTCAAACTGCCGGCGCGCCTACGAAAGTACCAGCTTTTGCCTGGTTTCCCTTGCGTAAAGATAGGGCTTTTTTCACATGAGAACTTCTTGTTCTGGACTTAGGCTGCGTGGCAGCTACGTTCCGGCCTAAATGAACGGATGGTGGTTACCGAGTTGGCTTGAATTTCTAAAGTTCAAAACCCCCGATTATTAAAAAACAAACAAACAAACCCCACCCAGCAGTCTTAGTTGGGCTTTAATTATTAATGTTCTAATGGAAACCCTTTTCCAAATGACCCCTGTGGTGTTTGTTTAGATGTTACACATGCTTGTAAAACTCAATCGTTATTTTCTTATTTGCGTATTTGATTGGGTTTTTTTTAATTGTGGTAATGATGGATCAGACAGCATGATGAGCTGTCACACTGGGCTTTACGAGGCCTCTCATAAAGATAATAGGTTGATTAAAAACTGGTCTGATTCATAGGGCTTTAAAAATTCTATTTATGTATAGTGTTAGTTTGCAAAATGCCGTGATTAAGACTGTCCGATAAATGAGCTGTTACTTTGTGGCCAGATACGATGGCACGGTACTCTTCTCTGAAAACTGATTTCCAAATGTGGCCATAGAGCTCTACAAAATAAAGTTTGGATATGTGAATCCAGAGTAAATGAGGGCAGCATTCTAACTTTAGGATTCCCACACAGATTCAGGCCCTGTGACTGCACCAGGCACTGGGATGATTTTAAATGCTTGAGGTTTTTTTAACTGCTGCTGCCTTCTACTTTTTTGTTAAATGCAGGAGAAAGTGTCTTCCGTGGCAATGACATTATTATTGTAGTTCACTCCCTTTCCTCTTTGTAAAGATTTTATCACTTTATATAGTAACTGGAGAAATCTGTTTATTCAAGGAATCAAGATGATTTTAGTCAAAATGCTTTTCGAATGAAAGAGTTGATTTAAAAATCAAATTTTATGTCTTTTAGGCAACATACTTATCTAAAAATTAAAATCATGTTCTTGCTTCTCAAATTTACTCCTGCACTTTTGTGTGTTGAAGTTTGTGTAGCTTCAGGGCCCTTTCAGGTGTTCGTAGGAGGAGACAGGGTTGGTACAGTCATTGGAGTAGCTGAAACTCCCCCGTTCTACTCCAAATTGAATGTGCACCGGAGTCCCAGTTTCCAAACAGGACTGTTTGTGTTGGGGTTTTTTTAGGGTGATGTTTGGAGTAAGATAAACATGGAGGATAGACACATGTGCATGATTGATTCGTGTTCTAGAGCCGACAGCAAAGTATCATATAAGACCCTATCCTGTAGGAGGTAATCCATAGCTTCATGTTTATGTATTACGTAATTATGAATTACGCTTTTGCCAGCAACCCCAAATTTTGTTGAGAATTCTTTTCTTTTGCTTCCTGAAGCAATGAAATACTGTTTCATTCATTGTTACTGTGCATAATTAACCGTTAGGAGCTGATTATGAAGATACTCAGTAGTTGGCCAGTCTGCAACCCCTGAAATCTTGTTTACTTTAAGAAGCGTAAACTACTTTTAAAGATTTGGAAAAACCTATCGTCATAGTTACAAACAGTATTTTCTTATTTTAAATTCTAAACTGGAAGATATTTTACTTCAAATAACTGAGATATTCAGTACCATCAGTAATATGCAACTGCAAGAAACATCCTACTATAAATTCCACAGGGAATAAACGCAGCACTATGCATAAGCAGAATTTTAGACCCCAGTGCTTACTACTACTTAACACTTCTATATGCACTAGTTAAATCAGTATTTTTATTTAACCTTGAAATATATAAAATAGATTTTATTCAGCAACTTTTGTAGTTAGTAAAAAAATTTCCTATTGAATAAGAAAACCACTGTGTAATGCCCGAGAGATGGAGTTTGTATAGACTGTACTGTGTCATTTTACTCAGAGAAGTGTTACGGAAGTAAAAGCAAAATAAAACCAATTTTTAGGGTGGAAGAGGGAAACATAAAATGTAACGAAACTTGATTACCCTTTGTGCTGTGTGCTTTGTCATGTTAATAACTCCACTAACATTGCTTTCACTTAATTTAATGCTGGTTGCCTTTAACATTTACTAAACAGTTTTGAAAATTACTGTAGCTTAGCCTGAGACGTTGTGATTAGCTGCACCAATTTGAAATGGCCAGTTTGGATGATGACAGAACCTCCTCTGCGCATGCTTTTTTAAAATTTGGTAAGTGTGCAGTTCTGTGTTTTGTTTTTGTTTGTGGCTCTTTAACTCAACCGAAAATAATTGTGTGTTTTGTGTTATACGCAGTGTTTTGTGCTAGCAGTTTTTTAGCACCCTACAGTAGAACTTAAAAATTTGAGCTCTTTCAATGGAAATTTCTGAAAATTGGGATCTACTTAGAGTGAAATCTACTGTTCAGATCTTCCAATTTTGTGTTTTGTGTTGTTCTAAGTGTGTAACAATCTGTGAACTGAAATCTGTGTTTTAAGATGATGATCATGTGAGAGGTGCACTGAGAATGGTGTTTCAAATTAACTCCTAAAAAACCCAACGTGACTGGTTTAGAGAAAATAAGTAACATTTCCAGTAAGTCAGTCGTTGTTCCAAAGCTTGCCTTTTGGAAGTCAAATGGAAGCAAAATGAAGCACCCTGGCACAGCTTCTCTTTAGGTACAGCGGAAGCTGGACGATGTGGAGTTGTCAAGGCTGTTAATGATTCAGCACAGTTGAGTTTGACAGGAACAAGCGTGTCCCTACCTGAAGCTGACTGATCTGGGCACAACGTACGTGGCTCTTGTTTAGTTTGTGTTGAAGCACAGGGGCAGCGTGAGGGGTAGTGAGGGTACCCAGGTAAGGGGGTTTCAGCTGTCTCTTGTCGCAACTGGGTCACTTGAACTACCCTGCCCCTGCCCGTGGCATTTCTGTTCGGCCTCCCTGAATGTCAGAGGCCATGTGAAGTGTGAACATGGGAAGAAAAAAAAATTCTCCTAATTATATCGATACTTGATGTTTCTGTTGTTATGATGCAAAATAAACATTTTCAGCAGTTTTAAGAGCTATTGGTTTGAGTTCTCATAAATGGCACTGACTCCTTTGAGTAACCCACATGCTCTCTCCTAATTGTATCGATACTTGATGTTTCTGTTGTTATGATGCAAAATAAACATTTTCAGCAGTTTTAAGAGCTATTGGTTTGAGTTCTCATAAATGGCACTGACTCCTTTGAGTAACCCACATGGCTCCTGCCTTGCTTGTAGCATTTACAAGGCCTGTGTGGCAGACTCTGGCATTTTGGTGGATTTTGGTTATGCGAAGCTCCTGTGTACTGGCATGACTCTTCAGTGTCCTGCTTCTGGTGGTCAGTAATTCTATGTGCTCTTAGTTACTGTAAGTCGTGAAATCAGTACTTTCTATTAAATATATGTGCTGTAGAGAGAAATCACTTCAGACGGTTAGGAAATAGAGAAAGGACAAAATAAATTGGCACATATTTTTTCCTTTTCCATGAAATTCTAATTGAATTATAACACATGATTTTTCTTGATAGATGATAATTGAAAAGTATTGTCACTTTAAAACTATTTCAATGAAACTATTACCAGACTTTACTCATTTTTACCTGTGTTGTTATCATCACTCAGGAAACGCTTTCTACCTTGTTTTTACTCCAGATGTTTTTTCAGCTAGAGAAATACCTCAATACCTTTTTCTTCCTTCCACAGCCCGCCTCCTGGGCCTTCCTTACCATGTTTAATTGAGTTGTTAGGAGTTCAGCTAGAGGAATACCTCAATACCTTTTTCTTCTTCCTTCCACAGCCCGCCTCCTGGGCCTTCCTTACCATGTTTAATTGAGTTGTTAGGAGGTCGTCTACTGCAGCCTCTTGCCCAGAGCAGGTTCAGCTATGAGACCACAGTTTCCTCCTGGCTGTAGTGATTCACGGTCCCCACCAGCAGCACAGTTGGTACCTCCTAAGTTCATGGAATAAGAATCCAGATATTTACAAATGTGAGAAATGAATTTTTCTTCGAGTGGAAGTGCTTCAGAAAATTATTTTCTGGTATCACCTTGCATAGTACTGTGTTAAGTCTGAGCTCAGGAGAGGCTGCAGGAGGAGGCTTGAGGGAAGGGAAATGTGATGTTGGGAGGGTATGATTTTTTTCGTATGATATAATTCCTTGAACTTTGCTGCATGAAGAAATAAAACCCTCTTTGGTCCCCGTGACTTCTGTAATGTGAAGATGTTGCCCATACTAATATTGAGTAATTAAAGTTACTGTGATCTGAGATCCAGATCTTGTTCATCTTTCAAGTATTGGATTGCATCCAGAACTAGTGTCAAATTAGATGACTGTGGTCAGGTTTTATTCTTGTCAAATCTAGAAAGAAATCTGTTACTCTCAGCTTTTTTGTTTTGTTTGGTCTGTGCTGATTTAATTATACAATTATACAATTTCTTTTATTCTTCTGTCATGTGAAATGTTAGAAATAAAATTCTTGCCATGTTGCTTCCACTTATCTGTGATTAAACTTTGAGGACCCATGTGGTTGGTTGGTTGGTTGTTTTTTAATTCTGTGCTTTGAAAAAACTGAATAATCAATCCTTGATGAAATACACAAATCTTTATCCATAGGCTGGGTCCAGAATTCCATTCTGGTGCCTCTCTTTCTTTCACATCTGTAATTGCTACCATCTTCAAGGATGTATGGGTGTTCAAAACTTCTGTATGTACAAATTTGGGAACATGATTCCAAAACATTGGCTGTAGCTTTTAAGTCTAAACATCTTGGCACTTCATAGCTCTTCCCGGAAGAGCAATTAATGCTAATCTCAAGTATAACTGGAATAAAAATGAAGTGGATGAGAAAGTACTTTAACATCAGGATGACACAATACTCTCAGCCTCCAGAGGTTGTGTATACAGAAGTATTTACACTGCTAATAGCAGTGTATTCTGCTTAGCAGAGATAATTAAATTGTACGTTTTTCCTGGAATTGTTGTACATTTGAGTTTCATCTGCTGGTTAATGTTTTCTTATAGAGTCCATGTCTTAACTATGTCAGAAGTATTTTGTCTGTTTATTACTTTAAATTTCCACTAGTAATTGATGTCTCTGTTACCAGTTATTCGGCTGTTTCAGACTTCTTCCTGTTCCCTAATACTTTGACAGGAATTGATTGTCCTTTCTAGTAATTCTTCAACTTGAAGCATGGTGAAATGATACTACTCTGGAACCGCTAACTTGTAGGACATGAGAGGGGATTAGTTTTCATTCAAAATATGGATATAGTGTATTTTGTCAGTGCAATATCTGAAGACAAAGAGGGTTTTAATTGGACGTGGGATAAAGATTTTGAGTGTTCTTTTATCAAGCATTAAGTATATTAATGCAGGAAGCAATGCTTTGTTTTCCTATCTGTTGTTTTTTAGTGATTTTGAAGTAGTTACTGACTTGCAGCAATCCACTCCCAATGTAAGGAAATAATGGGCATACTTCATTCATTGTGGAAGAGAATCTGCACTACCATGTACCCTTATTTAAATTTTGTCCAGGATTGGTACATCAGTATACAGCCAAAGAAATACTGAGTCAACAAAATATTGTGTTATATTCCTTCCTAGCATATCTACTTATTTACTTAAAATAAAACTCTCACTGTATGGTTACAGTCGAATGAGATACTTAGGAAAAAAAGTATTTGAAATGAATGTGCGCCTGCTGTTTCTCCAGCATGCTAACGTGCAAACTGAGAACTGGGGGATACTCCTGGCATATGTCATTCTTTTACGCTGAAGGGTTGCAGTCTTGCTGTGGTCGTTTTTTCTAGTTTAAAAACCTATTTTAAATAGGTGACTGATAAAAGCTTCCTATGGCAGGTTTTTGTCTTGCTGAAATGAACTATTAAATCAATTTTGGACAAGAGTATAGATTTTTTTTTTTTTTTTTTTTTTTTTTTAGCCATCCTAAAAATAGCTTCCACTGGGTTATGGTCTCCCTACAAAATCACACGGAAGGAGCAGAGAGCTTTGCACTCGTCCTCTCTGTTTCTTGCTTTTGATTAGATTGTGATACTAATGATATGTAATGTACCACAGAATCTGTCCAGCAGAATGCTGTAGGCACCCAAGTGGAACATAAACTATATAGATGCTAATGAGGAATTAATGAAGAGTATGTAGGGAACTTTGACTTTGAGTGTTCCTTTAAACAAGTTCTACTTGTAGGAGTCGTTTTAAGGAAGGCTTTCAAGGCATAAACCAAAATTTTTGTCAGTTTTCTTGAACTTTGAATTCATTTCACCTTTTTGTTTCATCAACAGTCTATTCTGGTTTATTTCTACTAGTAAAGTTTCAAACATCTAAAAGAATATAATTAGTAGGTGGTGATGCTTTGACATTTTCATGCTCTTTACTCTGTTCAGTCATCTTTCTGCACCAAGTTGAAATCTTTGAATGCTCTGAAATAGAAGAATATGCTTTTGGTTCACGATAACTTTATTTTGTTTCTCTGTTGGCCACAGAGGGTCACAGATTGTCTGGTAAGTATGTAAATGAGAAGAATTTTATTGTAGAATCTTTTGCCTTGCGTGTGTGTTTGTGCCTGTGAATACTCAAGCGTTTTTCGTGGTGCAGTACCGGGGTTAACAGTCTGCAAGAAGCAGACATTCTGAACCCATTTCACACACAAAGGACAGTGCGCTATGTGTGTGTTACACAGCTAACAAATCCAAGAGAGAGAATCCTTGTTTTGCTATTGAAAATCCAGTCAGTGAGTATTTCTTATAAATTGGCTACTCTTTATGCAGTGAGTGACTTACTGAAGATTTTTTCCTAGGTGTATTCTCTCCTACTTCCACTGAATCACCTTATGAAATTGCAGTTACTGCAGGTCACTGTATTGTGTGCTTTTGCACGATAACTGAATTAATAGTATAACAATATACATTATGAATCTCCTCATGGACAGGGATTCCTAGGCAAAAAGAAGTAGAAAAATAAAATTGCTTTGAAAAACTGAGTTAAATTGGTTCAGAATGCTGTTTTTTTAAACAGAAGATAGAAAAGATCTGGTGTGTTACAAGTTTTTCCATTACAGAACAACTTAAATTCTTTTAGCTTTGTTTTCTTAGGCAACTCAAAGAAATTAGGGTCTCTCTGCTTCCCTCTCGGGCCCTTTCTCCACATGCAGGTGGTGTTTGTAACTTAACCTCTCCCAGTAAGGAAAGGAAAGGCTGTAGGGGAAGCTCAGATGTCTCAGGAAACGTCACCGGAGAATCCATGCACCACAGACCCGCAGGAGTCTGCTCAAGGAGGGCTGGATTGTTTTTTAACTACAAGATTGCAAAACAAACGTAATATTAATTTGGGGGGTGGGCGGGGTGAGTTCCGGAAGGGCAAGAAACATTTTCCAGTCTCCCACCACAGGTTTTGATTACTAAAGCCTCTGTCACCCCTCCACGAACTTTCATTTCGTTTGGATAGAATCATAGAATCACAGAATGGTTTGGGTTGGAAGGGACCTTAAAGACCATCCAGTTCCAACCCCCTGCCATGGGCAGGGACACCTTCCACTAGACCAGGTTGCTCCAAGCCTCATCCAGCCTGGCCTTGTGCGAGTCCTGACCATGGACATCTCCTGTCTAATGGCGGGATACGTGCTGGGAGTGTGGAAGAGGCAGCTTGGCTAGGAGCACTCCGCTGCGTCCTGCCAGAGCGACTTGGCTGGCTGGGCGTCCTGTTTCTTTTTCTAAGAAACCCTGTCTTTCTGGTAGGTAGCTCTTTCAGCTCTCAGGACAGCGGGCTTTGCAGGTGCCAGCGGGGAAGCAGTTGCGATGTGGGATACTGAGAAGGAGAGAGGGGGATTTGATGGCGTGGCGTTTCTCTGAGATAGGTTGTTCACGCTTTGGTATTCTGTGCCAGCAAGCTAGCCCTTTATTTTTTTGATTCAAACCATGAAATCAGCTGGCTTATTGTGGTGGTGGTGGGTGAAGTCAAGGTTGGGGTAGGTAAAACGTTAGCAGTGTTGTACATGTTCACCATTTTAGAAGACAGTAGGGAAGTAATAGTTACGTCTGTGCTACTTTTATCCCTCTTCTGGTTTTCTACATATCTGTAGGAATTCTGTCTGTAGCATGCTTAATTTCTAAGAAAATGTTCCTAGAAAATTCTTAACCTTTAATAGGCTGTCTTCAATTACTGAACCGTACATTTATGTAGCATTTGCCCTAGCTAAGTATCTAGAAGGCATTGGAGATCCAGGTCTTGTCATGGTTTAGTGTGCTGTCCACACCAACAGTTCTGTAGAAAAAATGTATATAAAAACCTTCTATTCTCTTAGATTATAGAAATTACAATTTTTTTTGTTTGAATTGAAATTTAATAAATTGTGATTTTTGTATAACAAACATGAAAAAATCATACTGCAGTAATTTTTACTAATAATAGAATTATGAAACTAATTCTGATATTGATTTTGTGTTCTGTCTTACTTTTTTAGGTTCAATTTATGAGCCACTTAAAAGCATTAATCTTCCAAAACCAGAGGGTGAAAGTCTGTGGGATAAATTAGACCATTATTACAGAATTGGTGAGTTAATAATTGTTCCTACCGTGCAAGACTTTTGGTGTAACTTACTAAAATATTTACTGTTACAGTTATGACAGTAATTAGCTTTGTCTTAAAATAATACCTGCAGTCTTTAATAAGGGGTTTTATTTTCTGAAATGTAAAGAGTTCTGTCATTACAATTCCTCATAAGATTCCTGTGGTAATATAATGCATGTATTTGATAGTACATACATTGCCTGAAAAATTGTGACCTGTAAATAGTATTCCAAATTATCATCTGCAGTTTTCAAGTAGGATAGATTCTGAGTTGCACCTGATGGTCTTGGGTGGGGAGGGGTAAAGGTAATCTGCGGACAGTTTTTGATGCTTGATCTAACCCTGATATGAATTGGTATATATATTTACACATTGAATGTCATTGCTATATTATTCCTACCTGAGGATAGTTTCCTAAATTTCTGCTGGGAGTTTGGAAGGTGCAAAAACTGGAGGGCTGAGTTACACTTCTTGCTGAAAACGTAGATTGGAAATACAGTCCAGCTGTAAGACTGCATTTAGAATGATTTTGGATAAAATGATAGCCTAGTATGGTGGCACTAGCCAGATACAGCTGAAGAAACATTTATATGGAAAAAAGCTTTCTTGTAGTGGTTGTAACAGGTTGAGAGGTGATCAGAGAGAAGTTATTTTCTTATTAATGGTGCCATAATGCCCTTTTGTGTTGGAATTTTACCTGTTTACCAACTTATTTTAAACCAACTTTACTGGTTTTCTTTTCATGATGAGATAATTTTAAGCCAGAAACATACACATTAAAGAAGTAAAGGTTTATTTTGATTGGGTGTTGGGAGAGTTGTGTTATAATCAAGTCCTGACTGTATGCTCAGATGAGTATTTTTAGTGGCTGTGCAAGTGACTGTTTAAAAGTTAAATTTTACTCTGGCAAGGGTATAGAATAGTGAACGATTTTTCCATCATTCAAAAAATGCAGGGTGAGCCTCCCTTTTTACTCAAATCCCTTTTGAAGTGAAATTTGTGAGTCGTGCCTGGTCTATGTGTAGACGCGTTGCCTTTTTGTAGACGCATTGCCTTTATCTTTCTCACAGAGGAGATGACTGTCCAATTTACTTCTGACGCTTGGCAGCAGCAAATCTGCAGTGGTGCTTGCTATTTATCTGTTGGGCACTTAGGTAGCAAGCAGTCTGCTGCCTCAGTAAAAATCACTATTGAATTAATACTGCATTTTAGAATAAGCTGGATTGACTTTTTTAGGTAGCATTTTATCAAAGTTCTAGTCATAAGGTATGAAGTCACTGAAGAATATAATGCAAAGAGCTGTAAACCCCTGTAATTTTAATTTAAAATACTTCATTTCTAATACATGAGCAATAAAGAGGCTTTTTTAAATTGATGCTTGATAACATTCTGGAGTGAAACTGCTTTCTTGTCTTATAATAGACAGGTTATTGTTAGAAGGGTCATGTTCAAGGACATTAAGCCCAGTTTCAATCTTGAAGCATGCTGGTTATCCTACAATTTTAGAAAAACAATTCACAAAATGAAAAGTATTAACGTAGAAAAAGAAAAAGTAATATTCAGTATTTTTTCTAGTGCAGTTTCGATGACTTGAAAATTCCTGTCTTGTTTATGTGAAAGTACTGAGTTAAATAATCCTGGTCATCCTTTCTCCTTACTTATTAATTTATTTCCTTTTTTAAGCATACAGATACAGTCATCTGGTCTAAATTAAACCCTTAATTTTTATGAATGTAGAGTACTGCATAGCTTAAATATTTAAAATGAGGGTGGGTGTTGATGTACTATAGCCTCCCCCCCTCCTCCCACCCCCTGTAAAAGGAAAATTGCTGCGTTGCATTGTAGAGATTCTGTGCAGAGTGGATGTACTCAGTCATATAGCTATGAATACTGATTTCTTGTGAAAAGATCTGCATTGACTGAAACACTAACGTGACAGCACTTTTTGTGTGTGTCTCTCTCCTTACCTTTTTTCTATTGTTTTACATCGTGTGTACTCTAACAGGTTGTTCACATCTTGACTTGTTCCTGATAATACACGTAGAAACCCCAAGTAAATCTAAGTGTGGTTAATACCATTTTTGTTTTTTTCCTTTTTCCAGTTAAGTCAACGTTGCTGCTTCACCAAAGCCCAACGACAGGTCTGTTTCCTACAAAGACGTATGGGGATAACCGAAAGGCAAAAGTACATGACAGTCTTTACTGTGCTGCGTGTGCCTGGGCGTTAGCCCTTGCTTACAGGTGAATAACTTCTGACCTCTGCCGTGTTACAGTCTGTTGTGCGGTACCCTGGGGATGTTTTAAATGGTAAAGCTGCATCAAAAATAGTTTTGTAAACTCATAGAGATGGTATCTGTTTCCAGATCTCAATAAAAAGGTTTATGTGGCTCTTAGGTTAAAAAATGTCTCTCGACTTTTGCTAAGTAAACGTGTTTTCATATGATTTAATTGATACCGGTGCTCTGAAACAGAGGAAGTACTGTGTGCTATTAAAGGCTGTTGTGGTAAGCTGTACTCAAGGAACACTGCTCTTTGTAAATGTAGTAGGAGAGTTCGGAGCAGAAGCAGGCTTGTGGGTAGTAACAGTTTGGGTACTCACAGGAGACAATCCCTGAATGCTGAGAAATGTGTGTTTGGGAAATAATAGTGACTGTCTTCCTCGCTAGGTACAGGGGCTGGGCAGGCTCAGTTGTTGGCTCTCTTATTTCTGTTTTCACTGTTGACTCATTAGAGAAGTAGGTTAGGAATTTGTGTGGTGGTGTACAACCTGAAGAACTATGGACAAGTTACCTCCCCTAATAATTCATTCATAATTCCCTCTGCTTTAGATCAAATAACTATGGAAATTGCTTTCTGAGGTTTAATATTCTTTGTCTCCAACCTTGCTACCTCAGCCACCCAGGAAAACACAGGTAGAGGTGATGATAACTCAAATGCACTGTATTTCAGATAGCAGAATTTTGTCCAAGAATATGATCACTAGCTCAGTACAACAATTTGATTACTAAAAAGAGTACTCAGTATTTGCACACCATCTTCTGTGCTTTACAGAAGAAGCGTCAGAAATAAAATAGGGAGCTACTGCTAAAGTAAAGATGATCTACTTAGGTAGAGAGTTGTGAGTTTCTTTTTTGTTTCCATTTATTACTTCCGATTCTCTGTCTCTGACACAAGTCTGAAAAAACAGTTATTAAGATTGTCTTCTAAGAAATGTTGTTACAAAATTAGGCTCTTTGAAAAAGAAGACGTAGAGAGATCTGTATTAACTTCTGTAAATGCTGGGCTTGAGATCTAATGGGTTTCAGAATTCTGAGAAACTAGCAAAAAAATGAAGGAAATTAATGTTCAGAATGTGTAATTACTAATTTTATTTTTTATACTGAAATCTTTGCATCTTTCTTTTAATTCCTCTTTCTGTTGCTGAAATAAAAACATTTGAAAACAAACAAAAAAAAAGGAAAAAAAACCCAAGGAAGAATAAAAGGGGCAGGGGTGGTTATCCTGAATTTTCAGCAACCCATAGAAGAGAGCATGGCCCAAGTTGCCCACGTTAATTAGTCTTTAATTTCCGGTGTGTGGAATCTTAGATGATACATGAAGTTTGTGGCAGTTGGAAGGAACGCCAGAGTGGCAAGTGAAGCTGTTGGTGTTATGCTCAGAGCAGGGCCCTGCACTTCAGGTGCTGCACAACGGATTTTCTTTGTTGGGCAAAGCTCGATGGCTGAAATGAAGTGAATGGCTGAAATCTGAAGTGAGCCAAGATGCAAGGCTCCTGTGGAAGATTGTGTTATCTGCCAGATGCAGGTTGCTGTGCTTGACTCGTGCCAGTGCTGCTCTGCACTTTCTTAGGAGCTAAATGTCTGGAGAGCACATTAAGAAAACACACACTGCTGTTGTGAACAGAGGAGAAACGTCATAACGTGAACACTTGAGAGCTTTTACATGTGCTTCTTATTGCTCTTTGGATTTATAATGAAGTTGAGAATAAATCCTACTGCTCCAAAAGTTCTTAATTTTTTGTTATCTGGATTTCTTTCATGTCGTGTTGCTTTTCCCACCTTGTTTGAACTTTATAATTGAAAACAAGTACATTTCTTGTATTTAAGGTTGTTATTAAACGGCATGATGTTTGCATGTGAATGATTTTTAAACTTGCCACAGCCTTCCCACCTCTCAGTGTAGGCAGGAGAACCTGAGCATAAACTGCTAACATGTTAAGTATGGTGGAAAAGGACATGCTTTGCTTGCAGTGCCGTTACCATCTGCTTACCTTGGAACCAAATTGGTAACAGCTAGAAAGTGGACTGAGAAACAGCACTGAGCGTCTTATGCGGTTTTGCATATTTGTGTCAGAGACGAATTACAGATATATAAGGAAACATTATTTTCACCCTGAAAGGCTCAGTCAGAAATTGACAGCTGGAAAAGGCAGAACACATGAATGTGATGGTCAAGGTTGTTTACACACAATGCATTTCTTACAGTTAAAATAACTTGGCATTTGGCATTGCTTTTCGTACACCTTTAGCCATAGAGAAATTGAGTGTTGTGTGATTTCATGGTATGAACATACTAAGGTGTCTGGAAACATTTCTGGACATCTGGAGCAGTTACCTTTCAGGCTCTTGGATGCACAGCTCTTTGATCAACACCACCAGGAAGGTGACTGCTTGGTAATGAATGGCAGATAGTTTGTACAGTTAAACAGAAATTGCCTTTTTGTGTTTTGGATCTCTCAAGGAACACAGAACAGCGGCTTGCAGTGTTATAGTATAGGCAAGGATTTATTTCTGAATTTTGAAATAGGAATGTTTGTGTAAGTTGCACCACAAACTAAAAAATGTGGGTTTTTTTTTTTCTAAGGAAGGAGGTGTAGGGCTATAAATGTTGATAGGAGTGTGGGCACCACTCTACACCAGCATTAAATACTTAATATTCCAAAGCACTAATGTGTCCTTTTCTTCTCCACTCCCCAAATGCCTTTCCAATGTGTGTTAAGAGTTCTCTCTCTTACCCAGGCGTATTGATGATGACAAGGGAAGGACTCACGAGCTGGAGCATTCTGCTATAAAGTGTATGAGAGGAATTCTCTACTGCTACATGCGTCAGGCCGATAAGGTAAAACACTACTGTGGACAGGAGCGCTCGCTTAATTCTAAGGCATTAATTAAACTAGGAAAACTAACTTCTGAATACAGGTAAAATTCAAAAGGGGAATGCAGTATTACTGTGTGGTGGCCCAGGTAAGAGCAGCTGCTTCAGTATTGTCAGGTTGCAGGATTGTTTTATGGTGTAAAAGGCATGAGCTTTTTGTCGAGTAAGCTACAGGTGCACTTAAAACTTCTTTGGGTTCCTTTTTCAGTTATTTATCCCATTTAAACATTGGACTATTAGTAATTGAGGGTTTTCTTGATGTCTTCTTAATGATTAAATGGCAAGATGTAGAATCTCTTTTAGCAAAGGCTAGAGAGTTTTCTTTGCACTGTTAACTTGGTTATTGCATTTGCAGTTATTTTCATTATGTAGTTTCATTTGGTTATTTTGCTTGGTTTCTTTAGCAGCTACTTTCCAATACTCTTTGTCTTAATTATGTAAATTCAGAAGGGCAGCATTCCAAAATGAATAAGGAAATAGGGCAATCTACTTAAAACACAGTTGATATATTCAGCCTGTAATCCTCTTCTGAGTATAACCTGAATACTATTCAATAGGTGTGGTGGATTAATTTTGTGTTTAGCAATAATTCTGCAAGCAAATATCTGTATTCTATATGATTACTTCAACTTTCATGTCACTGACTTCTAAGTGTATTATTAAAAATAAATCTCATGTTACCACGTAGCCTCTGTCACTTCCGAGCACACAAAGTGAGATGTAAAGTCTGTAGGGATGTGATGGCAGTAATAATAATAATGATAATAAGCAAATCAGGTGTACTGCCAGTTCTATTTATGCTGACATGGCTTTTTTTCCTCATTTTTTTTAGACTGTTTCTTTGCAGTCTTCTGTCTTTAAATAATTTTGACCTAAATCGATCTTGTTACATTTGAGCTGTTGTTTTTCTCTTTGACATGCAGTGGTTTGTTTTGAGGATGATCAGTGCAGATGTGAATAATGAGTACTAACTTAACACAGGTGTCACAGCGCTGACATACTGGTTGTCTGGTTTTGCCGTGCTTACTATCAATGCTTCCCTCTTCCTATGATGTAGTAATAAGCAGTCTCGGGTGCCTGACAGGCAGAATTCAAATGAGACTTTACTCTGAGGGACTCTGTATGTGCTGGCCTCATGTAGCAGGAGGATATTTTTTAATAACATGAATTAAATGTGCCCAAACGCTGAGGTGTTCCCTGAGTAGATGCTGCTGCTTTTGATAAAATCTGCAGGTGTTATAGCCTATTGCTAAAGAACATAGGAATTATGACCTAAAATAGAAGTGTTCACGGACTAGGCATGATAATTCTACAAAATAGCATTCGCCTTGTGCATCTGGGGCACGTGCTGTATGCTGTGTGTGATTTGTTGGTGAAGAATAGCCCATGAAGATAAGACCAGTATTGAAAATATTGTGCAACGTGGACCGGGTACTCGCAGTGATGGCTTGAAAATGCAAAAACTGTTTATTGGAGAGCATAGCGTGACTCGAGGAATTATGGACAAGGATCCTCTTTCATTACCTTCATTCTTTACTGTCTGAATTTGGTTTCCTTTCTCTGCCCTATTGGCAGCTCTCTGCCAATCCAGGTTGTTTTCTCAAATGGTTTTGTAAGGCAGGAGATGTCGTATTTTGCGATGCAAAAGGAATCCAAACTCCTGTAAAGCCAGCATAGTTTTTAATTCGCCCCTTTGTTGTTAACCCGTTGTACTAGTAATTCATTTTACTGCAGTCCATCTCCATCGTAAGAGTTTCTGTATCGCAGAGGCTTGTTCTGAGGCCCTGTGTCTATGAATAAAGACATTTTAATCTAGGGTATTGTTCTTGCTATCTATGATCTTTCTGGTTTCTTTTTAAGGTTTCAGCTTTGCCGTCCAGTATCTGTAAACATTTCACTGTGCATGTGAATGTCACAAACTGTGCTCACCGGAATAGAACCTTTTTTTTTTCCCCACGTACTCTCTTGTATTGGATGTTCTTAGCTCTTGCAGCTTTTCATTTGTGAATTTGTTCTACATGTGACAATTTCTGCACGCTTTGCAGGTCTATAACGCAGAAGGCTTAAAAATTACTATTATTAATAATAACTTCTTGTTTGTTTTAAAATCTTTGTCACATTATCAAATGGTACAGCGATAATGATTAAATTGCATGGATCATGATTCATAAAAATGATAAGAACTATGGTTCCCATTGTAAGTTTTGGGCTCTTGCACTCCAGTAGGTGCTATAAACTGGAAATGGTGAGGGAAGGAGAGAGTGGTCAGCAGTCAGGTGTGGAGATGGTGCATGGGGTAGGCAAAGGGCCTGGGGTGATGTGAACACATAGTGTTAGCTGACATGGAATTATTCCAGGCATATGTGTGAATAAGGAGGTACCTGGGGGATGGCATTATGGAGAAGGCAGCTCTTGTATCCTTCTGGAAAATCAGCGGGTTGGGTGCCTCTCAGCAATGCCTGTACACTAATGCATGCAGCACGGCAGTAGGAAGGAGGAATTGGATGTGTGCAGTTCCAGGGCTATGGTCTCATGGGATCACAGAGGCACGGTAGGATAGCTCCAGTGATGGCATGCTGTGATGGGCAGATACAGGCTCCTTCAGACAGGCCAGGAAGGTGAGGAGGGGAGCTGCCCCCTGTGTGAGAGAGCAGCTGGAATTCACGGCCCTCTGCTAGGAGGGGTGGTGAGCCAGCAGGGAGTTTATGGGCCAGGATTCGTTATGAGCGTCTCAGATCTGTGAATGCAGGGTGGGGGTGATACGCTTCAACATGCTTTCTGGTAAGGTTTCGGCTCCAGTAAAATGAGTTGGTGTTTGTCCGGAAGAGGAAGGTGACTGAGCATCTGTAGCTTTTTTTACAGATGTTTTTTCTACCAAGTGCAGAGAGATAGGTAGATGGGTTGAATAGTTATATTCTTTAGGTATGTGTATACTTTAAGTATGTCTGACGTAGTTTCTGGCAAGTTGCAGGAACTGTTGTTGTTTTACATAGTGGTTATCTCAAGAAATTTTGAAACACCCGAGTTATATGGTGAATTTTTGGTTGCCAAACGTACTGAAATGACTGAATTTGATTTTATGTTTTGCCTTTAATTCACCTTTAGGTTCAGCAATTTAAGCAAGACCCCAAACCATCTGAATGTCTTCATTCTGTTTTCAGTGCACACACTGGAGATGAGGTCTTTTCCCCTAAGGAATATGGTCACCTTCAGGTAAACTGTGCATGTGTGTGTAAATGACAGTGTGGACGATTCTAAGTAATGTTACTGTTGTCTTCCTTCCTTCCTGATGCAGCTGTCTGTTTAGGTTTGTGTGATATGAGTTGTGTTTGATAAAGTTGAGATTCCTTCTTCCTCTTCTGGTGACAACCAGGCTGGTTTGCAATAGCTCCCAGTGGTACGTTTTGGTCAGAAGGTACTGAAAAAGCTGTAGGATTCATGGAGGTAGATGGCTTTTGTTTATAAAGTTGCTTCTTTTTGAGACCAACAGATGGCTGTCCATAAATAATCCTGAAAGAAAATGTTGACGTAATCCGTAAAGTGAAAGACTTGGTGTAATCTTACAATGGATATGATATTCTTTTATTAATGTTCCCAGCTTAATTTTCTGTAAGCCTGAGAAATTTTAATTCGTAGTAAAGATTTAATGTTTGCTGTCAGCAGCTTTGTCTGGTTACAAATTGTTGTTCACCGTTTTCTGCAGTGTTTCCTAGTGAGATTGATTGCATAATTGATTGTTTTAGTGTCTTCCATTTTCTAAAGTGTTGATCTACTTTTTTTTTTCTGCTCTTTACCTTCAGACCCTTTTTTGCAGTCATGACCTTGTTCTTTTGCATTCCGTAACTCTGCGTACTCTGTTTATTTCAGAAATTGCTAGTGAAATTAGTCAGAAGTGACAGTAGGTTGATAATTAATTTCATGTATGACAACATCACTTAAATAGTTTGCACAGTAAATATGTTTGTTTCAGGAAATGTATATTCTGAGAAAAATTATTTGTGGAGTTATCCAAAGTCAGCATTTTGACTTCTATGGGAAGTTTCCTGAACATGCACATCTTTTATCTGCAGGAGGAGGCAATAATTGTGGGACTGTATGATAGTTCAAAGGCTCTGTTTTTTGTGGGAACTCAACCCTTCCCATAAACATGAGTGCACATCAGCAGATCTCAAAAAATAGGGGGTTTTCAGCTCTGTGGAGACAACAGGAAACAGAGTAACCGAGGGGGTCAGTTGGGAAGAATGGCACATACTACGTAGCTGGACTGCTGTTATTACTGTATTCGGTGCTTTTCAGGTTGTACTAAGAAACAGGAGTCAGTGGTCTTTTTAAATCCTTTTGAATTTTAAAAATTTGGACCTTATTCTGTGTTTCAAATAAGAATCTTTTGTTCTGGAAGGTTTCTCTAAATTTCCTACACTGAGATTATGGTTTTATAGCTGATTGATGCAAGTTAATGTGATAAACTTACCGTCTCTGTTGAAGTTGTACAGTTTCTCAATCCTACTAGAATTTTGTGTAGCAAAAGCAGTTTTCTTTGATCCATTAATAAATTGACACGATGCTCATCTGTACAGCTGCTGAAGGTAATTACTGTTAATAATAAATGCTATGTACAGCTACCAAAGAGAGCAGTTTTTCACTAATACAATCATACCGGAATATACTGTTCAATATGTGATTTGCCTTTTTAGTGCTCGACTGGCTAATAAATTGTCACAGATGTAAGTGGGAAACAGGTGGTGGGTGCAGTGATTGCCTGTGGGGCAAAGCAGAAGGCCGAAGCAGAAGCATTTTTATGTTGTAGTTTCAAGTGATTTACCAAACGTACTGCAGCGGCAGGTGTAGAGGGCAATACTTGTTTGGGGCGTTTCTTCCTATTTTTCACTTCTAGGTTATCGGTGAATTAAGATAACATTTTTGACGAAGTAACACTGTGTCATTGAGGGACCATCTTTGTTAGCGAGTAATATCTCATTGAGCTTGTTCGTTTATTTGACTCCAATAAACATAAGTTAATTATAGTATCCTTTCTGTCTTTTAATTACTTCAGATAAATGCTGTGTCCTTATTTCTCCTCTATTTGGTTGAGATGATCTCTTCGGGGCTGCAGATTATCTATAACACGGATGAGGTAAAAATTGATTTCCAGCGTTAAAACACACGTTTGATTAAGTTGGTTTTTTTTCCTTGGTTTTGTTTAATTACCAATTCTAAAATAATTGTTCTGGAAATATCCTGCAGGTATTGTCTACTTCTCATGGAAGTCAGAAGAGATGAATGGAATGACTGGGTAGTGAAATAAATTAACAGCTAATGAAGTGTTAGGTATGCCGAGAGTGAATGTAACGTGATGTTGAAAACTTGTGTATTTCCCAGCTATGTCTAGAGGGGACAAGGTCAGGAATTAACAGGTGTGGTAGGACAGGACAGTTCACTTCTGGTTATTTTATTCTCACTTTTCACCTTATCTGACACTGTCAGTCAGTGCATGCTGTCCGGTGGAATTTCAGTAGAATAAATAGTGGGGTTAATTTTCTGGAAGGCTGAAGGGCATTCTTCACGTACACATGAACTATGGGTGTTAAGAAGTTTGCTGTATCCTTAATTGAAAAGAAAACAATTTTATATCATGGTGAGAGACTTTTGTAAGATTGGTAGCTATTCTTTAAATAAGATAATAATAGGCACCATGGCCTTGACTTGAGGACAGGTCATGTCAGGACGACCTGCTGTCCTTCTCTAAAATGATGTTATGTTTGAGATGGGAATGAAAAGCACAGATTTTTTTTTTTTTTTTTTTCCCAATTTTCTTAATCTGGATTTCCTTACATTTACTCTGGTCTGTTTGATAGTTGCTGCTATATTGCATTAAAAAACTTAATGCACTGAAAGTACTACCATTTAAAAAAAGGGGGATTTCTCCTGTAATAGCATATTTGCTTTTCATTTCTAAAATGTGCGTCTTCATTAATGTGTTTTTTCTTTACATAATGAAAAGACTGTGTGATGCGACTTGTCTCCTTTCTTGCTTAGTTAGATCACATGATAGGTCTATATTATTGTCTCAATCTCCTTTCGATCTGTGAGGAAGCAGTTGTATATAATTATGTAATTACTTAGCTTGACTTGTAATTTATATTATCCTCCAGATGTTTGCATTTAAGTACAGAATCTGCAGAAAAAGTGCATGTGTACGGGCTCTCCAGTCAGTGGATGTTGCCCACTTCAGTGTCGGGCTGTAGTTTTCATTGCAGCCATACCCTAGGAGGCTGTGGGCTGTGGAGATTTATACTGAGGTTATCGTAGCACAGACCTGTACATTCCGTTAGTCTCTGTATAGCTTCAAAAAGGAACAGATTCTCAGCTCTTAGTAACCCCACGGAACGGCGGTATTTCCAAGTGATCCTGTGTGTCTAGACCGTGTTCAGCATAGCGGCATCGGCAGCACTATGGATGTGGCAATCTGCTACCCAGACAGCGAGTTGGGTGCTCCTTCCCAAGCTCTCGTTGCGCGACGTATTTAGTCTCTTTCCTTTTGTGGAGGAGGGTTTGGCAGCAGTGCTGGCACAGCGGAAGGTGCTGGCAGATGGCTGATGTTTGGCGAGCTGTCTGCATGGATATGTTTGTACGCCGAACTCTTGGCGTAGGAGGCGCTCGCTGTATACGGGGCTGCTTGATGTCAGGCGTGGCAGCTGTCAGTGAGTTACCCTCTAGTGGCATCTATTTGCAGTCGAAAAATTAATTTAATTGCATCTTTGCATCCATAACAAAGGGAACAGTGTATGATTGTGCAAGTGAATGAATTCGAGAGCACTTACCTACACATAAAACAGGGAAACACTAGTATTTGCCATCATCCATATGCTGCATGTGTATTCTTTATTACATTTTGCTCCCCACGTGCTTGACTTCGGGATAAATAAGCTTAACACACACAATCTGTAATTCCTGTACATGGTTTAGCATTGAGTTGGTTTTAGCATTTACATGCCCATTATTATATAAATGATCATTCTCTGAAGATTTTGGTTTGCAACCCATTATCTGCTGCCTTTTTTCTGTAAATCTGCTGTTGGAAACCCTTAGTTGGTCTCATATCTGTTATTGACCATTCCTTTCTTGTGTTCTGAGTGTGATCACTGGTAGAAGGTCCTTGGTAAGGCTCTACGTTTCTATGTGGTGCTCTTGGCTTCTTCATTTAGCTACTGCATCTAAATTTCAGTTAATGATAGAAGTAGGAGAAGCCACACATGTAATCACTGGGTGTTCTAGCTTTATTCAGAGAGAATTCATTTTAATACAAACAAATACTGAATTCCAGGGATGATTAATACCAGTTGTATCTTAAGAGTGGTAAAGTCTGTTTCTTTGAAAGTTATGAAAATATTTAGTGTACAGATAATTGTACATGAGCACCCCATAGTGAAATTTTAGCAGAGCCATATAATATATAGAGAGACAAGTAAGTATAGAATTAAATATATTGGTGGTAGACTGGTATTAGCATAAAAGGAGTATCTGAAATAGTAACTTATTTTAAGATTTAAAGCAAAATGGAGAGAAAAAGACAGAGGTATGCAGGTAAATTAAAATGGAAGCAAAACCTTCCAGTAAAAGATTTGGGGTTTTATCTGATAGCTCATTTATAAAAATAAAATAAAATCACTTGACTGTGGTAAAGTGGATCCTCCTCTGTAGATCCCCAAAACAGGTGTGCTTATAGCCACTGCAATATTCTCTTCTCCCACAGAATCCCCTAGGACAGTTTGGACGGAAGGGGATGAAACCCCTGCTTTGCTGGATGAACCAGTGTAAATCTTGTGTCAGGGGTTCAATTGCCTGTAACTTCTAATCTGTGGACTCTTTGAAGTGAACTGTAAAGTTTATCATCAACTTTTCTGCAGTTGAACAACTCCAGATGTTCTCTTTCAGCAGTGTAAATGAGGAAAAAGTTAATGAGGAATAAATCCCCTTGAATACCTTAAAACACCCTTAAATACCTCAGTATTCAGTTGAAACATGTTGATCCAAGAGGAGATTTGAATTATAATAAACTGGTTCAGAGTTTTATTTGTGTTTAGAAAGAAGTAGTTTGAATCCCCATAATTATGTTTTATCTGGAGCTACTGTAATAAAATTTTGGTGTATCAATTCTTTTAAAAAATGAAGTAAGAAACAGCACCAAGATTCCTGTGTCTTAGTCTTGTAGGATTTAATTTCTTTTGCTCTCTGATGCTGTTTTTAGGACAAAACTTTTTTTTTAAAAGATCCAAAATGCCACCTTTTTGGGGCTCTTCAAATATGTGTCTTGAATATGAAATCATTTTCATCCCTGCTTTTGTAGGAACTTCTGCATGAATCACATCGTCACCTAATTGAGGGCAGCTCTTAATATTTTGTGGTTAAAAACTGGTTTTAAAGAGAATATCTGAACTTGGGAATATCATTCTCTGGGGAAAAACAAGAGGGTGTAAGGCACAATTATGATGGCTGGGGAAAACCAACTGTCTTTTTAAAAACCTGAGCAGAAGAAAATATGCTTTCGTTTGCCTTCAGTCCATTTTCTTTCTTTCCTATAGGTGTCCTTCATTCAAAATCTTGTGTTTTGCGTGGAAAGAGCCTATCGTGTACCAGACTTTGGTGTCTGGGAAAGAGGAAGTAAATACAACAATGGCAGTCCAGAGCTGCACTCAAGGTGGGTGGGCAAATGGAGCCCTTTCAGTCAAAGGGAGTAAATGTGATTGAACAAAACAAATTCAGGGGTTGAGTTAAAAATAATAATGCATTAAAATACCGTTTGAACTAAATTAAGGTCCTCTCCAGACTGTGAGATGTATTTTGGGAAAATGTGAAGCATAATTTCATCATCATATGCATGCTGAAATAACCACATAGATGCTTTGCTATTCGAGTATTCAAATTCCAATAATTATGTGCAGCTGCATGCATATAATTCAGGAAATTGTGTTCTGAGCAGTTCAGCCTCTTGAGGCACGTGCAGTAGATTGGAGTTAGAAAAATTTTCAGGAATATCCTGATTTAAGAAGGTGTTTAATCATGAGTCTAGATTTTGTCATCCCCCCCATGCCGGGAGGAAGATGCTAGACACTGTGGAAGATCGCCCGGTGTGTGAGGTCTTATCCAGGTTCTTCAGGTGCTACGGGTAACTGGGCAGTCCAAGCTCTGTCATGAGACTGTTAGGAATGGCCTTACCTTTTCAATATTAGTGTGGTCCAGGTCCCTTCAGTGGAATTGCTTACATGCTGTTGCTCTTGAAGGGTCAAATCTGCAATGGGACAACTTGCTTTTCCTACCATTACTATTGCTTTCTTCATTTTTTGAGTTCTGAGGTTTTATTAATCATAAAAATGGCTACAACTTGGATATCTTAGGATATTTCAAATGTCATTGGTCATCATAATTATCATGGGCTTGCATGTAATAAATATGTTTGTTCCAGTCCTTGGTGTTGCCAAATGAATCTGTGTTCTCACTTCAGGATGAAATAACTTCTCGTAGTTCACATACAGGCATGTCTTTTAAGCTCTAATTCCATGTCATTGCAGGAAAACACGTAATTTTGGTATGATATTTTCAGGACTTCTGTAGAGCTTTAGTAGGAGTATAAGAAAGTACAGAGCTTGGGCCTAATTTCAGAGCAGACTTTGGTGATCAGAAACAGGCATTGCCCATATTTTTCTTGCCTGGTGAGCACGTTGTTACGCTGCTTCACTGCTGGAAGCCAGTAGGCAATTTCCCTTGTTCTCACAATTCAGAAAATGTGGAAGAGGAATATGCATCAAAAGGTGTATTTAGATATTATTGAGGAAGGCCCTGGGTACACTGAAGTCTTTTCTAGACTTTGTTATGCTCCTGTTGTGGTGTATCTACCTAAGAGAACTCCAAAACAACCTTTCAAAAAATAGAAGACGTGACTATAAGTAATCAGACTCTTCAGGGGTGATGTATGTCTGTCTTCATTCACTATGGACTCCAAACCAGTCACTTAAATTTCAGTATTAATTATCATGTTGTATTCATGGCTCTTTAAACTCACACTGTAAGTCTACATACAGTTTCCAGGACTAGAAGCTAATCCTTGCCTTTTATTGACAGAGGCTTTCTTTTCCAAGGTACTATATAATAGGAAGTCCATGGATCATAACTGCAAATTATGGCCTGTTAAAAGATGCAGATATTTGAAGTCTTTATGCAGTGTTGGTGTTTTATCTTAATACAGTTCAAAACACTTCTAATAAATGATAAATAGCACAACACTCTGTGGACCAGGTCTTCACTGATGTATGCAAATTGATGTCTTTTACTGGTTCAAAGGCAAGACTTGTAACAGCTTTTATTTTAGCGTGATTCCCCTCCCGTACGGCTGAACTTCTGCAAAATTAATTTGTCCTGTAACCAGCTGATGAAGCTGTTCTCCAGACATCTGCTGAGTACCCCTGCAAAATGCCTCTAACATCTCCCGTGTGTACTGTGGGAATAAGGAAGTTGCTGAAGTGCAGTGTCCTCACATTCCAAATCGAAGACTGCAGAGCCTCAGTCGCGCTCTTCTCCCTAGCATAGCTATTGCGTTGCTGTGGTGCTGTCCTTCCTTCTTCTGTTTTGCTTTGTGTAGTTCCAAAATGATGATGATTGCTGTGGGATTGTGGTTTGTGGGGTTTTTCTCATTGGTTGGTTGGTTTGTTGTCGGGTTTGGGTTGGTTGGTTGTTTTCTTTTTTTTTTTTTTTAAACATCCCTTGTGGTGTTTGATGTTCTACTTAACTGCACGGTTCTTGGCTGTACCAAGAAGCCATGAATGGGAGGAGGGTTAAGGAAGTATGCGCTTTGAAGTGCGTTTTGATTAGCAGTTGCTAAGAATATGCACTTTTCAGTGTTTGTCCTCAGGCGTTTTACTGAGAGGGTAAATCTAACAATTAAAAGTTACTGGGAATTATGAATGATGTTTAAGTGAATGCCATTTTTTAACCCCCAGCCAGCAACTACACCCCACGCAGGCGCTCTCCCCTGGGGGGGGATGGGGGACAGAATGGGAAGAGTACATGTGAGAAAGCTCATAGGTTGAGATAAGGACAGTGTAGTAGGTAAAGCAGAAGCCACGCACACAAGCAAAGCAATCCAAGGAATTCATTCCCCACTTCCCGTGGGCAGGCAGGGGTTCAGCCATCCCCAGGAAGGCAGGGCTCCATCACGCCATCACTCTGAATGTGTCTCTCCCCTTCTTCCCCCAGCTTTGTATGCTGAGCATGATGCCATATGGTATGGAATGTGCCTTTGGTCAGTTGGGGTCAGCTGTCCTGGCTGTGCCCCCTCCCAACTCCTTGTGCACCCCCAGCCTGCTCGCTGGTGGGGTGAGGAGCAGAAAAGACCTTGGCTCTGTGCAAGCACTGCTCAGCAGTAAGGAAAACATCCCTGGGTTATCAACGCTGTTTCCAGCACAAATCCAAAACAGAGCCCCATACCAGCTACTGTGAAGAAAATTAACTCTATCGCAGCCATTCTGATGCTTTTTTAGCAAGCCGGAAGTATAATTTCTCTAAGTTGGTGTCAGCTTCCTGTGCCCCAGCAGTGAGCAGAGGTCAGGTGTTGCCCCTGGTATTGTGGTTGCAAGACTGTTCGTGGTAGTCCGTGGCAAGTCATGATAATTGGTGGCTACAGTAGGGATCGTGCCTGGGGCAGTTCAGGATGGACATTAAGACAACACCTTTTCCCTGGAAGCTCAGTGAAGCACCACAGCAGGATACTGAAAAGAAGTTACGGAATCGCCTTCCTTGGAAGTTTCTGAGATGTTGTCTAGATGAGGCTGTGGTTTGCTTGAATCAGTATTGGTTATTAAGTCATTGGTTATGAAGTCTACTCTTCAGCTGAGATTTCATGTTGGACTGGATGAGCTCTTTATGTCCCTTCCAACCAACGTCTTCACAATCCTGTGACATTCTCGGAGGAATATTGCAAGAGGGTTTGGGTTAGGCTTTGTTTTGGGGCCATCTTCAAGTAAGCATCTTGTTCTCTGGGAATGGAGTCGAGCATATGACACAGCATGTTCATAGTGGGTTGACGAGTGGAGCAAGGAAGAGATTTATTTAAATATGTTTTGCCTTTCATACTGTTAAAACAGTCAATATTTTTCAATTGTAGATTAAGGAATTTTTTTTCTGTAGCAGGACATGAGCATGGTGTTTATGGTAAAACCTCTTTTCTGGCTTGCCCAACAGGAAGGCATTCATCAGTCGGAGTGAAACAAGGGTGTGAAGTGTGATCATAGCTGTGAAGTGTGTTGTGTGGTGTGATTGCTCAGTCATTACAAGACATACTTCATACTACAGCTGCTCTCTGACTTCTTGGGTTTTGAAAAGTAAATTGCTCCTGTCAGTTACCCATGAAACTTCTAGGAGTCTAGGTACATGCTTGCTCTTGTGTGCATGGTGGAGGGAACACTTGATGCACCATTGTGATGTGAAGAAATATTTCGTGATTGGGAAGACAAGCAAGTTCTCCTTTGCAAGTAATATTTGTGAGAGCACTGCAGTCTCCAGGACTTTGAATAACTAGAGGTGGAAAAACACCCATCAGTTACAGTAAATATTACTCTTTCTGTAGAATAATGGCTGAGTACGTAAAGAGAATGATTTCAAGGAAGGAATACATGTTTGTCTTCAGTTTTTTTCAAGCAATTCATCCCATTTTGTAGATGAAGTGAGTAGTTTTACATTACCCGAGGCCCAGAGTAGTTGCTGTTGAACATCTATTACCCTTCTATCTTTTGTCAGTAACCTTTTTCCTGCTCCGAAAACATCGGACTGTTGGTGTTAGAAGTGTTATTTGGAAGCGAAAAGGAGAATATGGGATTTTAACATGTGCTGCAGACTTCAGTGTGTGGGATTTCTGATTTTCATTTTCTATGTGTGCAGTTTAATAACACTTCACTCCTATGGAAAGTTCAGTTCTGAGTCACTGCACCAAGTTGTTTGATCAGTTGCCAGGTAATAATTAAAACAGAGCAACGTTAGAAACACTACATTTTTTGTTTAGGTACTGGAAACAAAGCCAGAAAAATTATTACATTCACAACACTTCTGAGTTGAGTTTATTCCTCCATCGCATTCTCGGGCTGCAAAAGCTTTCATCGGCAGAAGGTACCGAACGGAGGGATTTCACCGCTGTTTGATGGCAGCTGCTCCGAGCAGAACGTGTAACCTAATCAGCTTTCTCTTGTTGAACCAATTACAATTAAATCTCATGAGTGCCACTTCTGGCAGTCTTTCAGAACACAAGCTGGAGGTTTATAAATCTGTTGGTAATAGTTAAAATGAATGATAATGGCTGAAATCAGTGCCTAAAGTCCTAATATTAAAACCAACCCAGGTAAAACAGTACTTACAGAAAACAAAATCTGTAACTCTGCACTGAGTTATTTTCAACATTTTCTGTGTAAACATAATCATCTCCCATATTTAAAATAGGGATTAGTTCGGAAACGTGAAATTTTGTGCTTTATGTGAATAAAAGGTAGGAATCAGTTTGTTTACAGCAAGGTAAAAAGTTTGTTCTGATCCCAAAATGCTGCATGGAGCATAGAGGAATTAAGGATAAAGCTTAGTCCCTGTTTGCAGTTGTCTGACAATTTGGTTGCTGTAATTTTTTTGGGCCAGAAGGTGCAGGTGTTGTCAACACCATCACAGCTCCTCCCAGCCAGAAGTTGGGGATCGTTAGTGATTATTTCCTGAATGTTTTTCTAAGTTAGTGCTGCTTCATTATTTCTATAGACAAACTATGTAGGGCTGTCTTGTTCAGAGAGCAGATATTCCGAACCTGTTAATTTTACTGCTTCCCTGCAAGTGGAGTGTGGCTCGCGGACTCTTAGGGATGCTTTAATTTTTCACCATCATGACTATCTCTGTGCCACCGTTTTTCTCGTGTTATCTGGGCGCATGGATCCTCTGACAAACCATGATTTTTCATGCCTTGTTTGGCAGAGTGTGGTTGGCTGAGTGGATAATCCGTTTTAGAGAAAAAAGGATATAAACTTTTAACTACTTTTTTTTTTTTTTTAGAGAATTTCAGGGAATTACTGGGCTAATAAATAAACTGTGAATTGATTTGGCATATTCTGGTTTTTTCCAGACTAATCCCAGTTCTTAAAACTTCAGACTTTTCGAGTATCTATAAGTAGCAGTGTAGATGTTTGACAGTTCTTTTTTTCTCTCTGTGTGCATCTGTTTAACTTGGTTTTGTTTTACTCCAAATTTGTGTCTTGTGCCCAGCTGAAAAAAACAGGGTCGCTGCACGTAAATGGTTGTTAGCGGAGGACAGTGTCAACACCTTCTTTTCCCTAGTAGGGCAAGGCTTTAGGAAAGAATGAACCTTTCAGTTCTTCTGATGATGATTTTGATCTTGCTAAGGTTGGAAGCTTTCCTCCTGCAGTGTTGATGTATATCCTCGCACCATGGTCTGCCACTCTGTTTACCCTCACAGTCTTTCTTAAACCCGGCATCTTTTGTCATGTCAGCCTGATTTATCCTGCTTTTTCCTTTTTCAGGCTTTTGCTGTATGTCTTCAGATTTGTTAACTTCTGAAAACATCAATGCAGACATCTGTACTTTCCGGTTACTGTGCTGTTGTCCTTTTCTAGCGTCTCGTTTACTGTTGGTTTTGACTAAGTATGTTTCAGGTTAATTGTAAGCTACTGGGGAAGCAGAGCTCCCATGTGAAGGAGTGGGCAGGTAGGGAGAGATGGGACTTGAATTTGAACGAGGAGCTTCAAAACCAGGACAGTCGTTCATGGAAAGCGCTTGGGGTATCAATGACATCAGCAAGTCACTCCTGTAGTTCATGGGGAGCGGAAGCAGAGGCAGGCAAAGGTCCAGGCACTGTCGTGATGTGGGGACAGAGGCATCATTGAAACGTTTAGGTTTGTGAATGAAGTTGGGAGCATTACACCAGCCTGTGTTGTACTGGAAGCTCTGACTGTTTTACCAGGTTGCCTAGGAGAATGTCCAAGGTGCTTGTTTGATTTTCTAGCCTGCTGCAGTATTTTTCGTTCCTGTATTTTTATGTCACCTCTTAGTAAGCAGCGCGAACACCGTTCCCTACTTGGAATGCTTGTATTCCATAGTAGGACTGTCACAAATCTGGTGGCGTTATGTATGACATTTTTAAACTCTAGACCTGTTGGGAACGAGCTCATTTCATGTTTTATGTTTTGATGCCCTAGAATGTTGGAATCAGTGTGCAGAAATCCAGTGGTTTATCTGTATGTTAATGCTGTAGTTCCTTACCTGCAGTTGCACGGACGCTTGTGAAGTTGGGCTGTCCGTGATTATGTGTTCTTTAAAACAAGATATCGAAATTCTGTCATACCTTGCATTTCATATAAACCTTACCTTGAGTTTTCTTTTTAAAAAAAAAGAAAATCAAAAGTGTTTGTGCATTGAGAGGGAAAGCTGCTTCCCTTTTTTATTAAAGTACTCACAAGCAAAGTGTAAGACTACATGTTTTTTTAATGAAATGGCCTTGTAAACATCATCTTGTGTATATTTTTGTATGAACTGTATAATTTTCATAATCAGTAATAAGTTATATTTAGTATATAAGTTAATTTTTAAAATACATAATGATTAGTAATTTCAGTAAATACAGTTAGTGCTTCATGTCTTTAAACATCAACTTGCTAACTTGAAAGTTGCTGATAGTATTTCTGGGTCTTGTTTTCTTTGTGATGGCTACTAGCCATGGAGTAAGTGAAATAAAAGCCATTTCCCTGAATGCTTGACATCAGAAAGTGCTCCTTTTCTGAATCCAGATTGAAGATTATTTCATTAGATCGAAAACTAGTCAGAAATCAACTCTTAAAGTTTCATGCTTGAGAGCTGGGTTGAAAAATTGTGCTGCAGTACGTCCTCTGTTAATACACCGTTAGCAAGACCTTGAAATACACAATGCCAGATGCCTAGTAGCAAGGTGAGAGCAGCAGTGCTTTCTCCAGATGGTCTCTGACATTTGAAGACAAATAAAAATGCTGAAAAGTATTTAAAAAACAAAACCAAAACCAAACCCCACAACCACCACCAAACACCCCAAATTTGCCGCATAATCATTTTATTAACATAAAGGTGAAGCAAAACATGCAAATTAAGAAAAGATCATAGCTCTGAAAGCTGTCAAATGTGTTAGACATCAGTTGGGTCTTGGATTGTGACACCTGTTTTCTTGTCCTTTTGTTTTCTCCTCAGCTCCGTGGGGCTGGCAAAAGCAGCCTTGGAAGCAATTAATGGCTTCAATCTCTTTGGAAATCAGGTAATAACAATGTTTGCTTTAATACATCTTTTTTTTTTTTTTTATTAGTAATGATTTACTCTGTGGATCAGAGGATATTTGGAAATATCTAGCACAGTTTGTTAGATTCCAGCTTAAAAAAAAGGTTAGTTTGCAAACTGATTGCTCCTGTTTCAGGTACAGAATTTGTCTGGTAAAATCATTAGTGCCCTTGCTAACAAGAATTGCTTTTTTTCTTAAAGAATCTGAAATGATGGCAACCAAGTGCTTTTTCAAAATGCGCTGCAAACAAGGGATTGATTCAGAACTGTATCTGTTGATCGTAATGCAGTATACCTCTGCCTGCAGGCATTACCTCCCTTCTGTCTTGTTCCTGCACGTGGCTTTTGATCAAGACGTTAAAAAGGCTGCTAGTACATAGTCCCACTGTTTTATTGGGGTTTCGTTTCCACACGTTGCATTGTGGTATTTTTTCTTGTTTTCCCATCCTCTCCCATGGCTTGGGTCAGTCAAGAACACCGGCCTTTTCCTAGGTTTTTCTCTCTGACTGGTACTCCCCTTGTACGTGTGTCTTGGTTTAGGTGTTACGCCGACAGTTCCATAGCTGCAACGAAGGAATGCTCTTCCAGAGTAACGCTCCAGCAAGGGTAGGGGTGGAGGGGATGCGTTGTTGCCACGCTGTTGTTGTTACTGCTGAGCAGAAAGGCAGGGCAGGAGTGCAGCTGCACCGGAGGTCGGAGAGCGTTGGGTGTGTGTAGCAACAGCCATGAAGCGTGGGTTGAGTCTGCACGCTGTGTGGCAGGGAGCAGAGGTTGGTCACAAGGGGTGAGCTCTGGGCACGGGGTGAAGCCTTCCACTCCTTTCTTGGAATCTTTTATCCTTTGACTTGTACGTGACGGGCCTTGCTCACATGCCCAAGCGCCCCTACTTCATACATATTAAGCCATAATCGATGAAAGATGCTTTCTCTCTTCTGAGGGCTGAGTCATATCCGAACCAGTTTAAAAACATGACACACATTGACATGAGGAGCTTATTTTTATACTTACCTGTTTTTTCCTGCAGTTGGGCAGTATCTGAACCCTTTGAGTTTTAGTCATTTTATACTGTCACCTTGCCTTGAAGTACTATTTGTATATTTTTTTGAGTGAAGTTTCTGTATATTCTTGCTGGCTTCAAGATAGGTGGGTTTTTTCCCTCTTTCTGTAATACCTGTGCTCTCCTTCTGTCCTGTAAGTCAGATGGAGATGACTTTCAGATTGTGGTATTTTCAAATATTCCACTCTGAAATGCACTGGTTGGCCAGTGAAGAGAATAGCACGGAGGAGAGAAGATGTAAATGGTAAACGGTGGATGTGGGGATTCACAGGCACTCTTTTTGTGAGCTGGTTCTGCTGTACAGGCGTGAGGGGAGACAGTGCCAGTGACCTTGCAGGTTCCTCTCTGAACTGCTTGAGCTAGTAAAACAGTCGTAGTTACTTGTTGTGTCCTGGTGAAACGGAAGGTCTGGATCAGAACAGTCATACCAAATAATTATCAGCACTGCTGGACAAAAGCTTCTTCCTTATAGTTCATTCACACAGAAAGAACTCTTAAACTAAAACTTTTTAGAGCTATTTGGATGCCCGGGATGAAAAATACAAGTTACAATATTTTTTTTAAGCAGTGGGTGACTGACACAGAATAATGTTCTATTAAACTGTCCCGTGGCATCCTCATAGCCAAGCTTAGGAAGTGTGGACTGGTCCACTGGGCAGTGAGGTGGGTTGAGAACTGGCTGGGGGAAAGAGCTCAGAGAGTGGTGGTCAATGGGGCAGTCTAGTTGGAGGCCTGTGGCTAGTGGTGCCCCCCAGGGGTCAGTGCTGGGTCCAGCCCTATTTGGTATATTCAATAAGGACCTGGAGCAAGGGATGGAATGTCCTCCCGGCAAGTTTGCTGCCAATACCAAACGGGGCGGCTGCCATGCCAGAAGGCCGTGCTGCCATCCAGCGTGAGCTGAACAGGTGAGTGAGCTGGGTGGGGAGATATCGAATGCAATTCAGCAGGGGCAAGTGTCAAGTGCTGCATCTG